TGGGCTTTGTGCACCAGGCTCTGACTTCTCTGAGATGTCGGTTACACATACCCTCATGCATGAGGTCTCTGTGTTTTCAGTACCAGTCCTCTCAGATGTGCATGTGCCTGCACACCAGGGTAGGGATCCAAGCTTTTGTGGATTTGTATGTCCAGGGTGGGAGGTCTGGGAGCTATTTGAGTTTTTAAGTCGTGAGTTATGAAGCTGCTGGCATGCAGTTGAGTCTATACTTCAGAACTTGACATCTCGGGGCTCTTCTGAGTCCCTGGCCTCATTCATTGAGCTGAGCCATCTAGGTTCAGTCAAGTGTGAGGTATTGCGTGTCCAAAGATTTGAGGTCTGTGAGTTGTGCTTTCCTGGATTGTGTTCTGGGTTCTGCGTGGCACTGGGATACTTGGGGTTTGGTGACTTATAGGGTGAGGTCCCTGAAGTAGCTGGTAGTTCATGTCCAAGGTGTGATGATTCTGAGCTGAGGGAAGATCTGTGTCACAGAGACAGGCATGGTCTGCCTTTTGTTCAGTATTCCAGGGTCTCAAACACCTGAGCTATGAATAGGTTCCACTCTGGGAAGAGAGACATTGTCACATGCCAAGTTCAGACAGGAGGGTTTTGACCTCCTCCTGATGTTTCATTTTCACAACTGTCCAGAAACAGTGAGAGGTTATCCTGAGACTTCGTTCACTTCAGCTCCCCAAAGCCCACATTCCTTATCTAAATCTTTAGTTAAGTCAGCTTCCTTCAGACCCTGCCCTGGGTTGAGAATCCTGCTGCTCTTTAGAAAGACAAGGCATCTCCCTCAGCCACAGCTGAGGAAATCTCAGTGACAAGGGAAAACGGGCTCCCCACCCAAGTATGAACAGGACATACCCATCTTGTCCTGGGATATTATGGTCTGCTTCCTTCTAGGCCTCACGCACGACACCCAGAAAGTAACCAAGGCAGAGGCACTGCTGCAGCTCATCACCCACACAATTAAGGGCCTGGATCCCAGGACACTGCTGGGTAAGAGAAGACACTAGCTCTTGGGAGCACCTTTGAACCTCTATGGGACTTTTACCTGAGAAGCACTGACGGCACTGTATCCAGACCCCTTCGGACCCTTCCTCCCATTGGACACATCTGAAATCAGAAGTTGGGGCTGGGGAAAAGAAAGGGATGCCGGGAAAGGCCACCTCTGGCCAGGGAAAGAGGATGGGCCCTACTGTTCAGCAGGAAATGCAGGATGAAAGTGCGCAGATCATTTACCAGAAACGTGGGTTGGGCCGATGATAGTGAATTATCTCATAAGATCACCTCCATCTCCAAGATACCCATGGTTTCATGGTATTAACTTCTCACTAACCACACGTTATACACTGCTACATGAGAGAGAGGTTCAGAGACAGAACTCTTGGTTCCTTCTCTGGTAACTTGGAATGTGGAGACATGACAGGTTCCTGATAACGACCCAAGCCATTTCCACGTTGCGCACAATGGGATAACAAGCCAAGTGGAGAATGGGATGTTCTCTTCAACTGCCAGGATTAGTGTTTCAAGCCAATTGTACCAGAGCAGGAAGCTTTAGCCATTTCCCAAAACACCCTCTGTTGGAGGACAAGCAACCCCTTGCTTCTACCGCATGTGTTCCCAAACCTGCAGAGTATTGAGGACAGTGCCTTCAGGATCATA